CGCTACTTCAACAAGGAGGCCATCCAAATTATAATTAAGATGGCTGTGGCTTACGGTGTCGACCGTCTGTGGATCGGCAAGGACGGTCTGCTGAGCACCCCCTGTGTGTCGGCTGTTGTGCGTGAGCGCGAGGGCGGCAGCGTCGCCTTCGGTGCCTTCATTCTGTCGGCAAGCCACAACCCTGGTGGCCCGAACGAGGACTTTGGCATCAAGTACAACTGTGAGAACGGTGGTCCCGCCCCCGAGAAGGTGACGAACGAGGTGTTCGCTCTGTCGAAGGTGATCACATCGTACAAGATCGCCGCTGACTTTCCCACGGTTGACGTGACCACGATCGGCACGACCACTGTTGACGCTGACGATGGCAGCCGTACGATCACAATTGAGGTGTTCGACTCGGCTGAACACCACGTGGACTTGCTGAAACAGATTTTCGACTTCCACGCCATCAAGAAGCTGGTGTCTCGCTCGGACTTCACGTTCGTGGTGGACGCCATGTCGGGTGTGAATGGCCCGTACGCTCGCCGCGTGTTTGTGGAGGAGTTGGGCTGCGATGAGTCGTGCCTGCTGAACGCTACTCCTCTGGAGGACTTCGGTGGAGGCCACGCCGACCCGAACCTGACGTACGCCAAGACCTTGATTAAGGCCATGGGTGTGGACGCCAAGGGCCTGCCTGTGACGGGCCAGGAGCAGGAGCCGCCTTCGTTTGGTGCTGCCTGGGATGGCGATGCTGACCGTAACATGATCCTGGGCTCGCGCTTCTTCGTGACGCCTTCGGACTCGCTTGCTATCATTGCTGCTAACTGCACAGTGATCCCGTTCTTCAAGAACGGCCTGCGCGGTGTGGCTCGTTCGATGCCTACCAGCGGTGCTGTGGACCTTGTGGCCAAGAAACTGAACGTGCCCTTCTTCGAGGTGCCGACTGGCTGGAAGTTCTTCGGCAACTTGATGGACTCCCACGTTGTGTTCGGCAAGGAGGACTACACCCCGTTCATCTGCGGTGAGGAGAGCTTCGGTACGGGCTCGAACCACATCCGTGAGAAGGATGGCATGTGGGCTGTGCTGGCCTGGCTGTCGATCCTGGCCTCGAAGCAGGTGGAGGGTGCCCCACTAGTGACAGTGGAGGACGTCGTCCGCGACCACTGGAAGAAGTTTGGCCGCAACTACTACTGCCGTTACGACTACGAGAACGTGGACAAGGCCGCTGCCGAGGGTATGTTCGCCGATATGACCAAGTTCGACGGTGTCGTTGGCAAGGAGATCAACGGTTTCAAGGTTGAGAAGGCTGATGAGTTCGAGTACGTGGACCCCGTGGACGGCAGTGTGTCGTCACACCAGGGTATCCGCTTCCTGTTCGAGGGCGGCTCGCGTGTCGTGTTCCGTCTGTCGGGCACGGGCGTTGCTGGCGCGACCATCCGTATGTACATTGAGAAGTACGAGGAGCCGACGGGCAACCTGGACCAGAACGCCGCTGAAGCGCTGGAGAAGCTGATTGAGGTGGGTCTGAAGCTGTCGGATCTGGAGAAGAAGACTGGTCGCAAGGCCCCCACGGTCATCACCTGAGGGGAGCGCGTCTTCTTCGGCTCGGCGGGCAGCTTAGGCTGAGCGGTGGTGACATCTGCTCTCTCTGCCCTAGTGTGGTGGTTGGGCTCGACTCTTGATTCATCTTGCATGTCCTAGTTGCTATGTAGTAAGTCAATCTCGCCACCATCGAGCAGTAGCAAGCTAAACAAAAATAGCAAAGCACATGAAAGCAAAGCTGTGTTATGTGTTGCTGATCAAAACAAGTGCTTGGAATCACTTGCTACTCGCTTGTGTGTTCCTCCTTTGCCGATCATGCTCGCGAAATCGTTGCATCTGCCCCTTGCTAAGCCGCTTGAACAGCCGAAACTCGGGCGGTAGTTGCGCTTCAGAGTACATTTTTTCAGCAAAGTAGATCCGGCGTACTCGGCAGGTCGCGTGAAGCTGTACACTAATCGCATGTCCGTATCGGACATTGTAGCAACTATGCATAAGCTCGTCCAAGTCCAACTGCAGTTGATTCCAGCCGCTGTCCAGGTGTAGCGGCAGTAGAGCAAGTTGAGAGTGCACGATACTCTTCTTTTGGAACGTGGAGAAGCGGAAACGTCTTCTTGAGCCACGGTCGTCTGCCACGTGAACCTCTAGCGATACGTGCTGGTCGAGGTTCTTGAGCACCAGGACCAGGTGCCGCAGTCGAATATGCAACGAAGGCAACGCCAGCAACGGCTCTTGCTGCTGCTCATGTCCACCATAAGGAATCCGCAGCCAAGTATACACGAGGTTGTCAGCTAAAAGCTCCACTACGGATGACTGCACATCTTCATCAAGCACGCGTCGTATACTTCCAGGCACCTCCTCGTGTTTCTCGCACAGCTGTAGCGGCCGCGGGCTACGATGGGTTGCAACGGAGTTGTGATGGTTAGTGCGCGAAGGATTATTCGGCGGAAAGCAGCCTCTTCCCCAAAGCACGCACCCGACGCTGTAAAGCAGCGAGATGAAGCCCGACTGGTACACCTGCCCCAACATGGCAGGGCTTGGACAATTATTAAATAATAGAGGCGATGCTTTGGTTGGGAGGACAGTGCCTTTATTTTTGAACCCTGCGGACAACCAGGCTTCATACCGTAAAAATCTGGGGTGGGAGGTGCATGGGAAAAGCTTCCTACAATAAATGACAGCAGCAGGATTATAAATAACGGTAATTTAAATGTGCAGGTGACTGTTTTTGCCTTTTAAGCCTGCGACATGTGGTTGGGTGGGCATACAGACGCGGTTGTGTGAAACACAGTACTCAGGTATCAGTAATAAACGATTGATAGTATTATATTTCCTGACTTACGTTTTGTATGCGAAACGCAACAAATGTGTGTTCGAAAACTCGAGGGATGTCACTATACCTTGTCACTGATCTGAAC